TCCCATTTATTCATCTTAAAATTAAGTCCCATTTATTCATCTTAAAAAAGTCCCATCAGTTCAGTTCCCTGCTTCAGGAGGTCACACCACAGCAAAGTTTGCTAAATCTAAGGAATTCTGCAGCTCAATCCTCTAAAACAGCAAAAGGTTAACAAAACCCAATACAGGACAAAAAAATAGAGTTAAGGGCAACTATTTCATTAAAAACCTATTTCTAGGGCTGCCTATAAAACTTTGTTCTAAGAATTTCAGACTGATGTTTTGGTTCAGGCTGTTTTCTGGAACAGCATCCACCAAAGGGGCATTTTTAATTCAAAATAATATATATACACACACACATTTTAAATACAGTTCCTGCAGCTTTCAGTTTATGTTTTAAACTTGAAAACAAGGACAAATCTACCACAAAAAAGACTTAGAAGCAGTCCATGATTTAACATGATTTGGAGTCATTTAGTAAAGGCAGCAGACACTGAGTTTCTTAACAGGTTCCCATTTTTCTCTGAGAAAGGGGAACTAAGAGCAAGTAAAAGTGTATTTTAGCTGTGTCCTCCTGAACACAGAAACGCTGTGTTTTTACCTCGATAGGCTGAGGATCATTCAGGTGGGCACTGAGATCCATGAGGAGCTGGGGCATCCAGGTGGGCACGTCGTAGGGGCTGGAGAGGATGCAGGCGCTGAGCCCCAGGACCCCGGCGTGGCGCTTCACCAGCTCTGCAGGCACAGGGCAGGAGATCAATTACAAATAAAAATAAAATAAAACAGCAGCAAAACCCCCCGCACAGGGGAGAGGCCTCCACCTTCTGCAGAAATCCAGGGAGTTTTACAGGCACAGACCTATGGATCTCCACATTGCTCCTGCTTTCTCACACAGAATCCCAGATTCATCCTTTATCTGTGGTTCTATTGGAAGGACGTGTCAGGGATGGATCTGCAACAGCTCTATGCTTCATAAACGTTTCTAGAGAGCTTCCCTCTCTCAAGGAAACTCATAAATAGCTCGGGAATGACACCATGGAAAATATGGAAACTCGGACTTCTGAGTCAAATGTCCAGTCAGAAGCCAGAGTTGCAAACTAAGGCTAAAGGGTTTTTTTTTTCTATTTTTTTGGTTGGTTTTTAGTGGGGCTTTTTGTGTGTGTTTGGTTGGGGTTTTTTTTAGAATAAAAGCCACACTACTAAAAATAGAAGGTAAAAAAGATGTGTTACAACAGCTAAGGAAGTTTATTTACTGAGGGACTTGCTATCCCCAATCATCTGCATCCTTAACTCTGCGAGCTGGGAAGTGGAAAAATCTCATGAGTGTTAATTCTAAAAGAGTTAAGAAGTTAGTTTAACATAAGAACACATAGTAAAAAATCTGCTTTTGCTGTGTATTCTTGTTCATCATTTCTGCTTGCACATCAAATTCTTGTTTTCACTTAGTAAGGGTAAGGATGTGCAACAGGGGTTGGGATCTGCACCACATGGACAGAAACAGAGCATAGGAAGAATTTCTTTCCAGAGAGGGTGATCAGGCATTGGAATGGGCTGCCCAGGGAGGGGGTGGATTCTCCATCCCTGGAGGTGTTTAAGATGAGACTGGATGTGGCATCAGTGCCATGGGCTGGGAACCACAGCAGTAGTGGATCAAGGGTTGGACTTGATGATCTTGGAGGTCCCTTCCAACCCAGCTGATTCTGTGATTCTATGATTCTATGAGGTGCAGAAGGACAAGTGATTTACCATTATGGTTTATGAATGCTTAGGAAGGAAAAACATCCCCACAGTGCTATCTTTTGCCAGGTACATATTGATTTTCCAAACCCTGCTTAGCCCCCATCCCTGCAGTGCTGGCAGACTTTGTGCAGCACAAACGACTGGTTTGCCCCCACCCTGCTCCCATGATTGCCTTACTGTCCTAGTTAGAACAGCTGGGACCAGTTCATCACTGGATGGGTGCAACCCAAAACTGTGTATTCTAGAGCCTTCCAGGCCATTGCCCAGAAACTGTTCTCAATAGACCATTTACACCCTCTGCCCAGAGCAGCCCTGACCCCTCAGGATGTAAACTGGGTGTTCAGAGGCCTGTGAGACAGGAGGGTGCCCCTCACACCCAGTGTGGAACTCCCCACCCTGAGGGAGGGACTGGGCATTCCTGCCTCAACTGGAGGAGAGATAATCTTGGGGTCTTGGGACTTTTTTAACCACTCGTGGGATCCAGAGGAAGACTGAGACCACCACTCTCAACCAGACTGCAACCACCACTCTCACCAACAGGTTTTTCCCCCTCTCCTTTTACTTTGGACTCAGGGACCCAACAAACACCACTCTGTTCCTGCCCCAGGGTGCTGGGTTAGACATTTGGGTTTTGTGGGTTAAAACCAACTGTTTGTCTGTACAATCGTACTTATTGTATTATTTTATTGAATTGTTCTTCTGACTTATAATCTCTCTTTTGAGTTGGGTTCGTTTCCCCTGCAGGTTTACCTTTTTACCTTTAAACCAGCACACTTACCCCCCGAAGGGATGGTGTCCCCCACGGAGCCCAGGTCCCGCTTCCGCTTCTTGGGCAGCCTCATCTTGCAGAGCTGCTCGAAGTGTGTCTGCATGGGCTGGTCCATGGACAGGAAGTTGCACTGCAGGAGCCCGCTGAGCGTGGTGGCTGCCATCTCCCTCACCTGGGCACGACACAGAGCAAGGGTTTTTAGGGGCTAAAATCCCTCTCACAGGGCTCTCACACTCTGAGGAATTTGCTGCATTTAGGTTGGAATGACAGAGACAGGAAACGTGTGTTATGAGATTAATTAAGGGAGAGAAGGTATGAGGCTCTGAGAGGCCTGTTTGTCCCTGGTGTGCTCTATCCTAATGAAGTACAACAAAAAGGTTGGCCTGGTAGTCATGAATTAGATAAGATGGACATTTGGGGGGGGTTGGAGAGCTGAGTAAAGAGGTTTTAAGTAAGACTTTAGCACGTGGTCAGGAGGAGTTGAAAAGTTCCTGAAGATGAGGAGCAAGAAAACCACCCCCATGAGGCCGAAGAAAACAGAACAACCCCCAGGAATTTACCCAAAAGGATGACTCCGCCCCAAGCTCCACCTGAACCCCACCTGATATGAATATTATAACTAGATGATGTAATTGTAATGAATATTCATGTAAAATATTATAATCCCTCACCAAAATTGTATAAATTGCCTGACTTTTCACTGAGAACTTGGGAGCTGGTTTGTCCAGCTGGTTCTCCAATGTTGCTTGAAACAAATACCTTTTCTGCTTAAAGACTCAAAACTGTCTCTGAGCAGTCATTTTATGCTGTTTTGGCATCAGGCACACCCTGGGATTTGGGACACCCAGCTGGGCCAAGTGGCCAAACTCCACCCAAGAAAAGCCCTTACAATATTATGCTGTTATTAGTTGCTCTTTAGAGGGTTCTTTACAAGTTAATTAACAGCTCTCCTGTAATACAGAAGTACTTCCACATAATTTGTCATAAAGTGACCTGCTACTCAAACAAATGATGTCATTTAACTCCACTGTTAATAAACACACCATAGATGTCAATAGTTATCACAGAACCAGCTGATATCACAGTCTGTGATACCACAGGTGCACACAGATATGATAGCACAGATATCACAGATTACAGGAGCTTCAGAAAGTTTAAAAACAACCTTGGACAGAGATCAAGATGCACCACCACAAATAATCAACCTGCTTTACAACTTCCCTAACAGATTCTGTATTAATATCAGTTTCAAAGAGTCCTTTATTCAAAAGCATTTAGTTTTCCCCTTCAAATGTAGAACTGACAAAAAGAGAAGAGCTTTTCCAAGAGAAGGCAGAAAAGATGTTCAGAGGGCTCAGCTGATTTTGTTCTACCAGTAGTACCAGAATTCTTTGAAAGACACAGCAGATGCTGGATTAATAAGCCACAATAAATAACTTCAGTGGTTTATGGTCTACAATTCAGTTCCGTAATGCCCCAGAATGATAAACTTCCTTGCCCCAAGCACCAGACCTTTGCACTACCTGAATAACAACACAATTCCAGGTTGGAAAAATAACGTTCTCTCTGGTAACACAGAAACCCCAGAGAACAAGACTAAACTAAGTTTTCACCTAATTTCCAAACTACTCAAAATACAGATCTCCTTTCCCATTCCTTTTAAAACAGCTACAGCACCTTGTCAGTGGATTCCAAGGAGAGCCAACTCAGAGCTGCTGCCTTAAAAAACAAAAGACTAATTTCTCAGGATCACTAATTTCTCTCATCTCCTCAAAGCTCCCAAAGCCATGAAGTCACAAGACTGTAAGGCTACATTGAAATTGGGAATCCCTCCAACTCTCACTCCCACTTCCAGTAATCCAAAGCTGCCAAAAAAACCTCCCCACATTTCCAGACCTGCAGACAGCAGCCACCAGGTTTTTTGGGAAGTAACTGCAAACAGAACATTTGTCTCCGTGGAGCACAACCACCTCCCAAGTGCCCTGAATCCAGGGTGGCAGATTATAATAAATTATATCCTCGAACACAGTGTTCTGAGCCTCCCCAAAACAATAAGTACAGCTGCAAGTGCTGCCATAATTAAAGACAGCGAGCTCGAATAAAGCTCTTGAGACCTCGCTCTGCTCCATCTCAATTTCTACCAGGTATTATTCAAACCCGATCCACACTTTGCCGATGGCTGGGGAAGGAGGAGGTGAGAGCCTGCCAGGGTTGTTGTTTATCGGCAATTTGTGAGCCCCCGAGGAGCTGAGCCATTAAACGAAACACAAGGTGCTAATGGCAGAGCCGGCACACACAGAGCAGCTCGGCTGGGAAGTGAGCGAGGCCCCGAGCGAGCTGGGCTTATTTACATCGCTACTGCCTGTATTAAAACCACTTTAATTCCTAAATTAATCACCTACCTAGAAAGGAACACTTTGCTGCAAGGAGCACCGAGAAGCAAAGCCTTTAAAACCCATACATGAGGCAGCTGATCACTCATCATATCTAACACTATATATTTATATATATATTTATAAATCATCACACTCAAATGACAACTTATGGAATACAAAAGCCACACGGGGATAGCACAGGAATCTTCCAATCGACTACAGGATTTGGGTTTTTTGGTCAGAACTGACCAAAGTCTGTAAAACTGCAACAATATCAGAACAAAACCACTGAGCAGCACAGGCCAAACCCAACTGCAGAAGTTGCAAGGGGTGCTAAAACAGAGAGAAAATACTCCCATTCCTGTAGAACTGTGGTGTAATGTGAAAAATGTTCATCAAGACATGAGTGCAGCCTGTGTATTAAAACAAAAGGATGGGTTGGATCATCAGGACTGGCTCTTTGTATCAAAATAAGCAAAAAAAAAAAATTATCTTAAAATCCAAGACCCAAACCTTCAGTTGTGCAGGGTAAACACACCGAATCCTGGCTAAAGATGAGGGGATGCTCATCCTGAAAATCCAGCATCCAAGAGCTGCACAGGAATTACTCTGCAGGATACTGCAGCCTGTCAGTTATTATCGAGGAAGAACAAGATTACTTGTCAGAGAAAAGTGAAAGCTTCCATGGCAACAACACGGCTGGAAGCGGTTCTGAGCACAGAGCAGCTCTCTGGCTCCACATCTCTGTAGTGCAGGGGAATCATTTGGTACGTTTAGAATAACAAGGTAAATTGCATTCGAGTGAATAAAAGGCATTTTTTCAAAATGATGGGAGATTAGGAGGTGAGTGTTCTGACAAACAACCCAGGGAGCATTGCAAGGTGCTGCAGAACCTCCTCTAGAAGAAAGAGAGGGAAAAGCACCCAAAAGTAGGATTTCATTGGTATTTGCCAGCTGCACAAACACCAGGGGAAATTAAGAAAAGGGGAGATGGACCAGACTGGAGATTAACACCAAAGATTCTTCACTGTGCTTGAGCATGGCTTAAATTCACAGCATTTAATGCAAACCCTCAGCTGTAGTGAGCTTGATGTATACAGGAAAAGTATTTTTGCCATTACTAAGTTGACATGATTAAATGGGAAGCAGACCTATAAGTAAGGTCTTATAAGACCTTCCTTATATATAAGGAAGCAGAGTAATAAATAGCGGGTTTACATGCTGTCCACACAGGAAGGCATTTTACCCTGTTGGAAGTTGAATTTCTCCCAAGACACACGCTAATATTTACAGTGAAATAATAACATCTCTGTTTCAGCTCTACTGAAACCAAGCAATGCACCAATTCTGTGAAAAAGTAAAAATAACAGAACTTTTAAAAATCATTAATGGAGCATTTTATGAACAGCTGTTTTCCGGGACTGGAGCCTGACAGAAACAAATCCTGTAAAGCTGATTTTCCAGCTGTGCTGACTCCCACCTGGCAGTTCTTCCACAAAACAACTCCACAAAGCACTGGGAGAAAGCATTCCAGGGAGAAAACATTCCAGGGAAGGGACCACTTGCCTCGAGCTGCTCGTCCTCCAGGAGCTGGATGACCAACCACCGGATGTCATCGACGGCCTCGGGGTTGTTGAGGAAGATGAAGAGGTTGTAGAACACCATGGTCTGGAGGTAGGTTAGGATGGTGTAACGGGCGTGCCAAGAATTGCTTCTTGCTGTCTGTGAAGAGGGATAAAACCAGGGTGAGACAAAAAGCAGCTTCCTGGTGTAAAACTAACAATATTTGAGAAAAAAAGCTTCTGGAGCAGTTGCAAAGAACTTCCCTTATTCAGGTGGGTTTGTTTTATACACTCCTTGGTCTCCCCAAAGGGATCAAATACAATTAATTTCATACTTTAGATCTGAGTCCAAAACTGAGAGAAAACGTTTTGGAGTTCATTTACACTTAAATAAATCTTTATTTTGGGGGTCACGTCTGTTACTGTTGGACAATTGATTGATGTTTATATAAACTCATGTAAACTGTGGGCATGCAATTGTTACTTAAGTCATAATTTTTATAATCTCCGCTTCCAAAGCAGATTTCTTTAATATAATTATATTACTTATAATATAATATAACTATATTACATTAAATTATAATTAAATAATAATTAAATTACAATTTAATATAATTATATTTAATATTTATTTAATATAAATATACTGTAGAACTATAAAAAAGGACACTTCTTTATATGAAGATTCATCCTGAAACTGGATTTTGAACTGTTATGCTCATGAGGAGCCATGGTGGACTTCAACTGATCCACCACTGAGCCAAATGTGAATTTACTGAAATGCAGTTCAATTTCTTACCAAAACAAAGCGGTTTAAATGTTTGCAAGCAGGAAACAAAACAAAACACATTTGCTGTTTAGGGGAACGTTCTAAAACACTTGAAATAAACGCTTCCCTTTCACATGTAAATCAGTATTTGATTCTCTTAGAATGACAGCTACTGAATAATCTTAAAGAAAAGGCAGGGAACAAGAAGCTTGAAGCTGTTCAGACCACACTCACTTGTTTTAGCACCTGAAGTACCAAAGGCACTTGCTGAGGATACAGCAAACCCTGAGACATCAAGGACAGACACATCTTTGCATCTCTCTTGAGCTCATCATAACTATTGTCGTTTTCCACGGGTGCAATCTGCAGGGAGGGAACAAAAACCAAGGGCAGGGTTAGTGAGGAACCACTGGCAGGAGCAAAATCCTGAAAGGAAGGGTAATCCCAGGAAAGGACAGTTGTCTAGGAAAAATACATTTAATATATTGCTGGAAGTTAACTGGGAAAAACGAATAAACGTAACATTAAAATATTCTCAGCTGTTGAAAAAAATTAAATAATCAAGAGATCCTTGTTCCTTGCCCCATTTCTTATTCACCTGAAGAGTATGGCTGGTCTGAAGCTCTTTAGGGGGATTAAATAAATGCCATTAACACTTTGGTCCCCACTGCAATTCTCTTGGTATCAAATCCAATTGATTTCATATTTTAAATCTAAGTCCAAAACTGAGAGAAAGCTTTAATTGAGCTCACTTAAGTAAACCTTTCCTTTGGGGTCACACACATTACTGTTGGATAATGGGCTGATGTTTACACAAGGGGTAAGCAAGTCTGGATTATTTCAGATCTGTGGCACTGGATGCCCCAGTTTCACCAAAAAATACAAGAATCAGGAGAACTATCAGATTTAGAAAGAATTGTGTAACCAGGGAACAAAAGCAAATAACTCAAGGTGCCTTGAGAACGGTTTGGGTTGGAAGGAACCTTGAAGATGATCCAGTTGCAAGCCCCTACTAACAAAGGAGAAGCTAAAAGATGTACCTTGAAGAACAAAGGTAAGAGCTGGAGTTGCTCTGTGACAGCTGTAGAGAAAGACCGTCCTGCGCTCGCCATCAACCACTTCAGAACTGTCAATAAAGAGTTAATAAACGTCATAAAATGATCACTGAGCAAGTGATCATACAAGTTACAGACCATATTTACTGCAAGACTCCCCTGTGAGTTTTTCCACACATTAGAGTGGTTCAGTTTGACCCTTGAGGCGACCTTATAAATCCCAACAGCTCCAGTGCCACAGCAGACACAAGAGGAGAAATCCTGGAGTGCAATTACACAATGTCCCAAAATACCCCATTCCTGAGCCTCAGGCACTCACTTGTTTTCAAGAGTTTAATGCCCTGAGTTCGCTCATCCTGCTCCCCAACCCCGTTCTCTTCCAGGACGTGATTCTGAATTTCTTCGTCCGCCTCCATGAGGGGTTTGAGGTTTTCAAGTATCCGGGTGGTGAATTCATGGACACGAGGAGATTTAGTTGCAGCAGTGTTTGGCAAGGAAACATCAATCATGAATATGTAGGTCAACACACTGGGGAAGCAAACAGAGCAAGGGAAGAGCACACAGTCAGCACCACTCCTGTGAATCCAGATCAATTCAGTGACCTTTCAAGTTTAACACTCACAGAAAATTTCATCTCTGCTTCGAAGTTATTTAAAACCAAATGTCCCTCAAGAACCCTCTTTGTAGACATTTGAATCAATCACGGTTAGACCATCACTTAAGCTACAACCCTCCTCCCCTCCAAAGTGACCTGCAATTGGTTTTTGAGTCACTAAAAGGACTTCAATTCTCTAAAGGAGTCACTGTTATTTTTGGCTTATTAAGGCTTAGACAGAAATTTTGGGGTTTGGAGATTTTTTGGGGGGTGGGGGTGTTGTGGGTTTTCTGTGGAGGTTTTTTGGGGCTGGATTGTTTGTTGGGTTTTTTTTT